TGAAGAAACACATAAAAGAGAAAGTATATTCAAGAATGGGAGCTAACATATGAAGCATTAAAGACTCTTTCAAAAGCTTTATACTTCAATAATAGATTCCACTCACGTTTGTTTACTAAAACAAAATAAAATGAAATAGATTAAAAATAGAAAAGTAAAAATAAATTAAATCACTTTTTTTATAATAAATATGATAAAATTTACTAATATATATTATATAAATAGGACTCATCACATCCTCCAAAAATTTTATGAATTATGATTTTCAATTCCATGAACTAAATTACCCTTCTCTTTTATGAATGTGCTCATTTATCCTCTTTAATCATCTTATTTTTACTTTTCTTTTTTCAATATATTTCATTTCATTCTATTCTATTTTTCATGTAAGAAATGAGATGCCATTAGTTTCAGATTATGATGTTTGAAGAAGATGAACAATGCAAGAGAGAGGGATTGCGTGAGAAAGAAAGAGATGAGAAAGAGGGATGTGAAATAAAGAGTGAATTTTTTAAAAAAAAAATTAAAACACATGGAAGGACAAGACAATAAAGGAGAGGAGAGAGGTGATCGAAATTTGAAACTAAAGCAAATGAAGAGAATGAAATAGTCGAGACTTGAGTGACATCTTTTTTCTATCTTTTATTTTTTATAAAATTATTTAATTTAATTTGTTTGTTCAAATTGCAAGTTTGAGTTTATGATAATTTAGTTAGTTGTTTGTAGTTGGCTAAAGTTGATAAAAATAATTTAGTGTAGAAATATTTTATATTATAACTTTTAAATGGAAATTATAATTTTTAATAACAATTTAAGCTACTTGATATAACATTTAAATTTACTTTTTAAATAATAATAGTAGTAATAATAATAATAAATATTAAAAAGTAAATATTCCCCCTGCTGAGCTTAGGTCCTCCGTCCATCACTGAATCGGTGGCTTATAAGTATAGAAGGATATTTAGGATTAATACAAGAATCATGCATGTGAATACAGAAAACAAGCTTTTTTTTTTTTTAAATAAGAAATCATGCAAGGGTTACAAAAATCAGGATATATCAAAGTCTAAGGTGTTCCTACATCCTATAGGCAGTTCGTTATAAATAGAGAGGTCGTAATTGTCATGTGAAGTTTCTCGTGCGAGCAAATCAATACATTTGTTTGCTTCTCTAAAAACATAATTAAAAGTGACCATTCAATTTTTCATAATAAGCTCCCTTATTTTCTTAATGGTTGACGCTGAATGATGACTTTCAAAAAATTTATGTTAAATAAAAGAGAAGAATTTTATAAAATCAGTGCGTAAATTAATCTTAATAAATTTAAGATTCTAACCAAGCTATAAAAAACAAGCTCTAAACATAGCTTGTGAGAGTTTTTCTGTCAAGCTCAATCTTATGTGATTCCATATGGAATTGGATCCCCTCCCGTACCACTCATGCATTCCGCTGATAGCTGCTACAAGATTCATCTGATGGTTGTGAGAGTGCCATCTAAAATGCATTCTTCAAAAAAGCAAAAATGAGGTGGTAGGCTTTCAGAGCCATTTTCTCAAGAAATTACATGAACATGCAGGGGCTGAACTACAAGAAATTACAGGTGTTCCGCAAGGGGGACCAACCCTGTAGACTTTCTTTGTGTGCCCCCGCCCCCTCCATTCCCACACACGGCTCACACACACACTCCAAAATAACACCCAATTAAAATAATGTCTTACATTATGCATTCATATATATACGAATTTTATATATATATATATATATATATATTCTTTAGACTATAATATATGACATATTTCACTGTTCTCAAAAAAGTTAGGTAAAATCTTAATATCTTAAAATATTGTATATCTTTTTAACTATATTCCGATTAAATATTTTATATAAGTGTCTTAACAATGATAATTAAAATTTCTATGCATATTTTTTAAAAAAAGAGTAATAAATGATGTAAAAGTATGGTTGAAAAAATAATTCAAAAAATTAACCTATATCATATATTTTGAACTAAGCAAGGTTTTTGAAAAATATTTTATATTGTGGTTTAGAGATATACTTCCTTTTCCCTTTATATATACTTTTCAACATTTTTTCAATTAAGAAAAATTATTCTATTTTTTATTTTTAAAAATATTTTACAAAAACATGGAGCATCATTTATTATCCTAATAGGGCATCTTATAATGTAGACCAGTTTTTATTTTTGGAAGGTACTTTATAATGTAAGGGACCGGAGATAGCATGAGTATATTATATGATATTATTTTAAATGTTTCTAAAATTTTCTAAAAAGTACATATAATTTTATATAATTTGTCATCTAATATCTTTAAATTATAAAATTTAAATTTAAATTAATAATATATTTTTTGCTTTTCAAAAATTGCCCCCCCCCCCAACTGTTAAGGCTGGTTCTGCCCCTGTGAACATGGGAGGTTGTTTCAATAGATCTTGCATATTTGCAAATCAAAAGCACACTACTCGCAAAGGTGTAGTCTAAATCTCGCGCGCGCGTATAACCTTCAATATTTCAGTTCATTTGAGCTAATTCACGCATGGAGAGGGTGAAAAGGGATGAAAATGTTATGAAATCCTTCATTCATGCTGGAGAAATGGGCAGACAAACACTTTGAAATTTCCTTAGTTTAATTAAGACCTTTATTTTTGACATAGTTAATTCCCCAAAGCGGACTGCAAATGAAAGCCGCATGATCGATTGCAAAGAAGGAGATGAAGGGAGTGAGAACGAAAACGGGGGGAAAAAAATTGGAAACGATTGACGAGAGTAAACTAAGGAAAATACGAAAATGAACTGAATGCCCTCTACTTTCATGCTTAGCAGAGGCAAATAAATAGAGCTAGTGAATGGGCGGGTCTTGCCTCGATGGCTTATATGAGCTTAAGCTTGAAAGCTTGATTACCTTAAAATAAATCCACACTAAAGCAATATGATAGTTGGAAATAGTTACATTTTGGATGCAACTCTCACAGCCATCCATTGGATAGCACACTTCTTGAAAGCACACGGGAGGGGATGTAGGGGGTCGTTTGAATTTCAATTGGATATAATTAATTAGGAAAAAACTAATTAATATGATTGATTTTTATTTTAATTAATTATGTTATAATGTGATTATGTTTGGATATTATTTTTTTAAAATTAATTTTGATAGAATTCAAATATTTGGATGATTCAGTCAAAATAAAATTTAAGTGTTAAAATTACAATAAAGGACAATTGTCTTTTAAGATTTAAATATTAATATAGTTATATATAATATTATTGTATTTGTTAAATTCAATTTAACAAATAAAATATGTATAACAGTGATCCAGTTAGTATTTATAAAATATTTAACATATATATGATTAATTATAAAATTGTACTTAATAGTCATGTTATAATATAATATTATGAGCTCCTGTTAATATAAGGAGAGACTTCATTTCACAGTAGCATGAGATGGGAGGAGAGGAATAAGATACGTGACACCTTCATGAGACACGCGGGGTATATTTTAAGTAAGAATTTTAGCACATAGTGAATGAGCCTAGTAGATAAAATTGAAAATCATGAGCTGCACCAAGTTGCTTAGAACAGAACGGAGTTTTAGGATGAAAAATTGATTATAGAAAAGTATGGGTGTTTGGATTCTTTTTACCAAAATCATGATTATTGACACATAATCGATTAAAAGTGCCTATCCAAACAGGCACTAGATACAATTCAATATACCTATCATCACTAACAAGAGATTTGTATCAAGCAAGTACTCCCTCCAATCTTATATATTAGATACCTTTTAAAAGCACACTTTGGCTCACTTTTTTTAAATCAGCCAATTTGACTCACTTTATAAGTAGCTGATAAAATTATTTTGTTTTAAATTAAAATTTTTAAACTATCATTAAAAAGTAAAAGAGAGAAATAAAAATATTCCCTCTATTTTAAATTAAAAGACACTTTTGAATAAAATCTTATATACTAATAAGCCTCATTAAATACATTTAACAACCTTATTTTTTCAAAACAAAAATATAAAATTTTAAAAATACCCATAATTTAATACATTAAAAAGAGAATGAACCAAAATTAATTATAAAGAGAGAAAGTGTAATATTAAAAACGGTGCATTTAATGAAATCTTAATTTACTCAAAGTGTCTTATATTTTGAAATAAAAAATTCTTTCAAAAATACTCTATAATTTGGGACAAAATGAATAATATTTAAAACTTCACTTACTTTTATTTCTTATACTTTTATTGTATTGATATTGATAAAATTGATATAAATAACTCAAAAATAAAACCAGAAGGAATATTTGCTATATATCCCCTCTGCCCTAAAATATAGAACAATTTTAAATAAAATTACTATAAAATACAATAATAACACTTTGCTAACTTATTTTTTCAAAACAAAACTATAAATTTTTAAAAATATCCCTACACATTTAATCATCACCCTAAAACATCATTTCAATTTTCTCTTCATTTAAAAGATAATATTAAAAATATCTCATTAATAAAACCTTCTTTTTATCAAATTATCTTATATTTTAGAATAATGAAATTCTTTTAAAATTATTTTATAATTTGAGATGGAGGAAATATGTTACAAGGGGCGTGATTCCTGGTTCAATCCCCAGGGCCAGGACACCGATATGCTACTCCTTACCTAACCCAGATCAAAACCACGGGTAATACTTAAAGGGCATGTTATATGCCTCTCTGATGTAGAATCGACAAGAACTTCAGTGAACTCAATTAGCCTTATCTTTAATAAGCTGGGCCAAGACCAGCTCATCAACTTCTTCGTTGTCCTCAAACTGGACAATAACAGAAGCATCAAATACTCCCAACTACTTGGCTAATTCTTCACATGACTAAATCAATTATTCACCAACACAAGATCGCTTGTAGCGTAAACCAGCATCTCAATGAGCATCAAATTAAAAATGTACAGTTTATATACACAAATTCTATAACTTAAGATGCTTAGCAATATAAAGGCATAACTTTTCTTCAGTAAATAAATTATTGAATCACATTGTATTTATAGTAGATATAAACACAATACAGTCCAAGATTCACCAATCAATACCCAATTCCCTCGATAGAAAGAGTTTATCAATGTATTGGATCAAAGGTGCCGATGCTGTTACATAATTTTGCATTTGGATCCTTGCTGACGACTCTGGACCAAGGTAAGATGAGAAGGCATTGTAAATAGATAGCTTTACTGAGCAAAATATTTGAGAAAAACATATAATCTCCAATTATTCAGCGCAGAGAGAGAGTAATGGAACCACAAGTAACAAAGGCAATATGAGCAAACAGAAAGGTTTTGGCACCCTCTTTTGCTCTAGCAAAAATGAGAAGATAATACACTAATTTAATTAGAAGCAAAGGAAGCAATAAAATAGAATTCATATTATGATGTGGAAGCATTCTGAATGAAAGTGAACCAGTTGACAATTGACTTATATAATGAGCAAAAGAAAGAAATGGATTATCTGGAAGAACTTGAAGGGCTTTCCTGTGTTTCTCCTTGGTTTTAAATATCTCTGAATTCCAATAAGTGGTGAACTACTCTTTGGAGGATTCCAAAAGAAGGTGAGTTCATCTACTTGTTTGTCCCTAAAGTTTTGGGCTTCTTCGTACTTGCGCAACTGCTTCCTGGAATCCCATTTGTGGTTTTCGTAGTTTCAAATGAGAAATTTCATCATGGTAATCATTCAACTAAATCCAATTTTACCGCATTTAGCCATATTGACTTTAGTTTAAAGTCTTGCCAAGACAGTGATTGACCATTCTGAGTTCTCTCCCATCAACACTGCACATTATTTTATTGTAATTGATATTAAGCACTTACTAGCTGAATTGGATGCACAAGTAAAGTCTCAGGGTAAAATGCGCATTTCAACTAAGATACCTCGTTGCAGTCCATAAAAATTTAGCAGATCAAAACTAGGGTAGAGAGCCCAAAATTTCAACTAAGATACCTGCTAATTTTTCTTCTCGCTAACTCTATTTCAATCTATTCCCGTTCACTGCCAATTGCACATTAAAGTCCTCTTCTGGATTTAAATTTTAACTAATATGCATGCAAACTTTAACCAACACATACCATCCTCATTGAGTTTTCTCAAGAGTTGTTGCTTTGTGGGAAGGGCGTACATCCCAGCAGCAACAGCCTTCCTGATAGCCCAGCCATGATGGGGAGCAAATACCTCTGCGTAAGCCTTGGAAGCTGGATCTTTGAGGGAATTCCCGCTGCCAAAAGATATACAGATGCTAAGCTCATATTCACTAGTTAATGCAACTTGGTTCTTCTAAATGTGCCTCTTAAAATAGATATCCACCAAAAAGGTACCCTTCTGTAAGAGGAACTGCTTCAGGATAAGTTAAGGGTATATTCAGTCTGGACTTCCTCTGTTATTTTCGGAGAATTCTCAGGAAGTGCCAGATTTCAGCATCTTAAAATAATGGTTTTTCTAGTAACAAAATAGTTCTGTCAAATGATCCAGGCAAAGAAGAGGCTAGCATCAAAGCAGTAAAAAGCAAAAAGTTGTCCAAAAACATTTTGAATTTAACAGAATAACCTAGAGCCAGATAAAATAACACTTGTAACTTCATAAGCATGTCAAAAATTACTCCTTATTCTATGGTCAAACTACTTTTCTTAATTGTTGCACAAATTTACTCGTTCCAACAAACTTATGGACACAATGAATTATTAACATGTAAACGTCATCTCACCATTTATCATCCACATGATGAGATTGAAATATCTAATTAGTGACCACCTCATTCACAAGAGATGCCAAAGACATGAAATTTGGCTTTTGCCATTGGAAAAGGTCAAAGAATGCCTTTTATCCGCCAAAAATTATGACATATTTCATAAAAGGATGGCCATGAGACAACATAAAAATAAATGAACCGTTTATTAGAACCAGATCTACACTTAATATTTATATCAAACCTGGTAAAGTTCATCAATCATTAGTGTTCATATTCAATACTTTTTCCAAATAAATAACTTGGCCTTAGAATGAGCCTTGGGATGTTAAATTGGCTAAGAAGTATTTATCCCCGTTGCAAGAAAGTGTACAAAAATCTATACAAACCAGGAGAATAGACACCAAATGATTATAGAATGTAAGGAAAGACATCTAATGGTTAAAATAAAAATCCACCGCCCAAATATTATTTCAGAATCTGATGCAAAGACGACCTCCCAATTATACAGAAACTACCAAAGTACAAATCATAAGCTTCACCTTCAATTAGGGCTTTTCAGTTGTAAAGCTTACTCAAATGAATGAAGCATGACAGTGACAATCGAAAGAAAAAGATGTTCGTTCTATCCAATATTCAACCCCCCTCCCAATTCAATTCTAGCGATATTCATTATTTGCTCCCAAGCAAAGTGTTTCTGGATATCAGAAACTAGCAGGTGGAAAATTGTTAAGCAGAGAGATATACATACTCTGAAACCATAATCTGCTCAAAAAGCAACCTGACCATGTCGAGTCCACGTTTTACTCTAAGAAGATTTCTTGTATGGCTACCTGCTCTCCTCACAGTATTAGCTTGTACATCCCGATCAATCATAGATTGTAAGGTCCGAATAGACTTTGATGCCTCAACTAGATCATCAACCTGTTATATCAAACAATATAACCAATGGCAAAAAAAAGATAAGTAAAAATTACACCAAATTAATTTGGAATTATACTGGAACAACGGTTTTAGAAGAGCAAAGCTTTACAGTGGTTACATGGAAGCTTTAAAACCCGACCAATGTGCCAATTGGTAATCAATGTGCCAATTGGTAGGCAAATGAAGTTCACAGAAGCCTTTCTGATGCGTATATATACACTGATGTTCAAGCGTGCAATGGTTATCTCGAAGTTTACATCCAAAAAGAGGAGATTCTCAATCAGAAAGTCACGTGTTATTTTTACTTTTTGATAACTGAAATGCACTTATTGTACAAAAGGACTGCACTAACCCACAAGAGTTCATTGTTTTTTCAAGAAACATGAGAAATGAGAAGCGGCACTACAAAAAGGTTCCGTCGCCACAACACCCCCCACAAAAAAAAAAGCAGAATCTAGAGCTCAATGCATTCACCAAGATAGTAACAACAGGAAACCCAATTCACATTTTTATCAGTCTCCAAGCAGAAACTAATCAATTTCCACTGAACACTGTCTTATATTTGTAATAAAGTCAATCAAATTAATTAAGGGAACAGAATGAGTTCTTAAAGGAAAGGATTACCTTGGCAACGTAATCCATCTCGGCAAACTTGAAGGCGATGCCCAAGCAACCAAAGAGAGGAGAGACAAGAGAAGAGGCCCGAGAGAAAGAAGCAACCTCGACATCCGAACTTTGGGAATTGACAATGTCCGCGAGCTCTTTGAACGCGTCCGAGATTTTTCTCAGAAGTTTTGCATCGGGTGAGGTCTCAGCCATCGAACAGGAAGGATCTTCGACTCTCTTGGCCGCCTTCTTTCCGTTCTCGGTCTCTTGAAACTTGAAACTTATTCCTAGCTGTAAATGGACGCAAATGGCGAGTTGGCGACAGTCAATCAAGACAATATATATGAAAAAAAAAAAAAAAAAAGGCAATCCAAATAAGAATACAAAACAATTGAGCTTCATGGGTGGGCCTTATATTTCAATGTTCAAAATCATGGAAAATAGTCAAAATGGGTTCTGTTAGCTGGGCCTTAGCCCTTTTGTATTTATTTAATTTTACTTGAAATTTTATCTTTTTATTTTAATTTTCTCAGTTCAATTTAAATGTTATCTTCATAGTTGAATTATTTTTATTTTATTTTTATCTATTAATTTTATCTCATTTATTTTTTATTTCAATGTAATCTCTTAATTTTCAAGAATTAATTATTTTTCTGCCAGGATCGTTAAATGAAAATACTCAACAAAAAAAGGTTTGTGCAATTCATTTGAGAGTTAAGTGTATTAATACATCACTAAATACCAAAGAATCATATGAGTTTTTTATGATAGATTTGAAGAGAAAGAAACATTCATTTAGCTTTTATAAGTTAGAAAGTAACGCTGAATAGTGAAAGTAAAATTAAAATAAAAAATATGTTTGAATAACTACCGGATAAAATTTAAAGGGGGTGGGGAGAACGGGCAAGAAGCCATGAAGATTATATCATACTCCTTTACATTACAATATAACATATTAGTAATTACTTTACAATTATAAAAATTTTTAGTTGGAACTATTTACATCTTTTTAATTATACTTTTATTAAATATTTTATATAAATATCTTAATAATGACAATTGAAATTTTAATATATTATTTTTTAAAAAAATAATAAATAAAGTATGAGTATATATAATTAAAAAACAATTATTGAAACTATTCCATATCCTAAATTCTAGACCAAGCAATAGATAGACATATATTTTGATATGGAGGGAGTGAGAAAAATGCAAGGAGTCAAGAGTTTGAGGTTTTCGTAACAGAAATAAGTCAAAAGTGGCCTTGGTTCATATTGACACTAGCCAAAAGGCACCCAAGCACCAACATATCGTTCAAGTGTTGGAAATGCCCCTTAAGGTTTTGATTTTTAACTCATTTTACCAAAGAAGTAATATTAATGTTTTGAAATCCAAATCGGACATCAAACTAAAAAAAGTAACGGGTCACAATTTTTATAATTAAATCAGCTAAACCGGCAGTTGAATTGTTGACATAAAATTAAATAAAAAATATTTATACATATAAATATATAAATAAAATATTAATTTATCGATAGTATTTGAAATTTCGACACCAAAGGCTGGATGTCTAAACTATTGGAACTATGCATATGCGCACAAGCTTGTGATCTATAAGCAAAACGTTAAAACTAGAGGTACACCATCATATCACGACACTTGTAATCTTGATGCCAAAGGCTGGATTGCTAAAGTTGAAAGCAAAGGTTAAAGGAAAAGTCAAAGATTGAGCCTGAGTCGTTGAGGAGAGATCAAAGATAAAATAAGAGAAAACACGAATTTGAACAACTTAGCCTAAATTTGTTTTTTTTTGTTTGGCTTTGACCAAGGTTGACCCATTCTAATTTATGGGTTAAATTCTATTCCTCAAAACCGACCAAATCAATCCAGTTCAACTCCTAAATTAATCTAATTGGTTGGATCGGGTTGTTTTGATCAATGGATAGCAGTCAAACCGTCCGATTCAATCTGCAGGACACTATTATTTTGATGATGTTGCCTACTGGGTTAAATTATTTCAATTAGGACGTCAAGATCTACTGTGTTTGATGCTATGGTCCTTACTAATAAGTTTAGATCTTGTGTATTTCCTGTTAAGTAGGATTTATTGTGCTGTTGGTTCCTTCTTTGTTTAGTTTTTTGGGAAAATCATACAGAAGCCTCGTATATGAATTCTAATTCTTGTAAAATCCCATGAAATGCATAATTGACTCTAATGCTCTGTTTAGTTGGAAAGAAAATATAGAAAGAAAGAAAATATGGAGAGAAAATAGATTTTTCTTTATTTGGATAGGGAAGAAAAAATGAGGAAAAAGAAAAATAGAGTGTGAGATTTATTGTTTTTTTCTTTCAACTTTTCTCTCCAAAAGTGGAGAGATTTGGCAGTAAAACTTTTTTTCATTGCCTATCATCTCTCTCTCTTATTTATTTCACACTTTAACTCTCAGGAGACTACTCAATCATATTAATTTAATTTTAATTAAACAATTTAATTTATAATTTTTAACTTTTATAGTTATGAATTACATTAATTTAAGTATTTAATTAAATAATTGAGCCATTGACTAGATCAAGTGTCCAGAATTACATTAATTTATTTTTAATTATTTGATTTTAAAATATAATATAAAAATACATTTTTAACAAATAATTTGATTTTAAATTAATTTGATTATGGTAATTTTAATATAATTTATGTTTTCAAATTATTTTCACAAATATAATTACATGAAATATAATATATTTTGATATAAGGGCATTATAGTTATTATAATATCTGTTCATTTTCTTTCCTTTTTATTTTCTCATGTCCTTTCAAATAGGAGAAGTGATAATATTTTTTTTTCCTTTCATTTTCTTTTCTCTTAACTTTTTTTTCTATTCAAACAGAAGGTAAAGTCCCATAGACTTCAGTAGTGATTAATTTTTAATATAAAATTATCAAAATACCCTCATTTGAAAAATCACAACTAAAATTTCAGTTACTTGTTATCTTCTGTGACTTTGGCTACTGATGGCAGTTTGCACTTACTGGTAAGCACTTCAAACTTAAATCGTAAATTATCCAAAAAGAAAATACTCTAGAACACCATTTTGTCTTTTCAAGCCAAATTAATCAAAATATAGGCAATGACACAAACAAGCACAATCAAAGGTCTCGTCTTTCCCTAAAGTATTTCAAATCTTTTGCCGAGAAATTAAAAATAATCTCCTCATGGTTGCTGCTGCTGTTGCATACTGCTGTCAAGAATGTGCTCGGCATTTTCGCGGCCTCATGAAGAAAAAACCCACAACAAGAAAAAGCAGAGAGAAAATTTAAAAAAAAAAAAATGGTGTTCAAGCTAACAAAACTTGATACCTCACGAAACCTTCATAGCTTCAATCTTCATTGACAATCATACATACCATGGAATGCTTTCCCTCCAATGCTGCAACAGGCGTCATCATTAGCCACCGCGCTGCCACAATCCCTGACTTGAATCCACGGCCATGTTCTCCCTCTCCGCCGCTACCGCTGCCGTCTTATCCATTTTGCAGCTTCTCTTCCCAACAAAGATGTCCCAGCCCCTACCACATGAGAATAGAACAACCAAATATTCGACCCATTTGACATCTCTTACTATGACCCATTGAAGGTCGACATTCTACCGACATCGATTAACTTCAAAGCCCTCTGAGTAACTTCGAACACCTCCACCCTTCAGTAATGTCAAACTCACAGACACCTCCAGAAGAATCCTCTTTTAGCAACTCTTCAAACTCTAGCAAGACAAGGAAAAGTTTGCTTCCTTCAACTCCTCCTTCCTTGTCAATGTCTATCGCGTCAACAATGCACACCACTCCTAGCAAAGGTGTTGCCTTTGTCATTTCCCCATCCCTCAGACTTACTTTCTCGAAACAGCCATAGCCAATATTTCGGCCTCACCAACATCGTTGCTATTGAACTTGACATTGTCAAGCAGGATTTCGACCTCGACAACCACGTCCATTAGACTCACCGTCTCAATTTGGAATCCAAATCTCCAGATGGTGCCATATAATTTTTAAATTTTTTTAAAGGATGGGTACTTTAGTATATGTACTTGTGAAATTAATTACAATTAAAGCTTACAAGACTTTAGGGTGATTTAAAATTTCTCGGGACTTTATGACAATTTGAATTTATGTGTGGGACTTCCTGGTAACTTCCCTTTTTTTTTTTTTGGTTCTTGAAATGTTATGTTTTGTAAAAGTTAGATTAAAAATTAAACATATCGTGCAAGTAGGCAGCAATGAGGCCTGTGACGTTTGTCAAAGACTAAAAGGAGATGAAGGAAGCATGTTCCAATTGATCTATAAATTCCAGAATCAACATCCCTGGTTGAGTCACCACACTATCAGACCCAACAATACAATCTAACTCTCACAAATCCCGGAATACTTAAAATCTCTGATCTTGAACGAGACTCGTCCTTTAGCAATAACCATATACACAGATTACTCTCTGATCAGAATAAATACACGTAATATATATACCCAAAAACAAAAGAACAAAAGAACCCCCCAAAAACCAAAAAAGGCCAGTTAGTCGAGGATTCATTCAGCTCTGCTCAGCTCAGATTCAATTGATCTAAAGCGGCAGCTAACTCAAACTCCCCAACTCATAAGAATCTCAGTCCCAGTTCTTAAATCAATCTCTTTCCTTCCTAGCAGCTCCAAGACAAAGTAGATAGCGTGGTGGCCGATGAAGTTCTGGGTGAAGGAGAAGCATGCTTCAACACTACAGTAGGCAGAATGCTGGTTTTTCTTCTCTCTTCCTCCTTTATCAACTCTCCCCCGAACAAGTCTAACTTGTCCACATTCGTGTTCTCCACCACTTTCTTCCCTTTGAACAGAATTGATTCCACGCTCTTCTGGGCCAACATTTCCTCCGAAGCCGCCAAGAGATCCGACGTCGTTTTGCCCGACACGCCCTCTGCTGCTTTCTTTGCCATCACTCCGTTTGACTGGATGCGCACGTAATTCCCTGCGCTACCCACCACGAATGCCATCGATACGGCTTGATCAACCTGCAGATTTTTTAATCAATCACGTTAGAATATTTATAGCAATTATTACACTGCCAACCTTTGTGCTTTTTATAAAATGAAAAAACAAATCATACACTCGGATTAGGTGACACATTGATGACTCATTACTCTAATCACCACCTCTTTATTTGTTGCATAATAATCTTCGCATCATAAAAAAAAGTCGACCGACTTTCACCTTTTTAATTTGAGATAAAAATTAAAAAGAAGAATATTTTACATGTTTCATAGAATTGAAGGCATTAATGTTGTTAATAATTATTCCACATTTGACGGTCATCAAGCTTTATAGTTTTCCCCCCTTTTGAATTGACTGAATGTAAAACAGTTGGCCCAAAAAAAACCGTAAAACACTCACCATATCGGAAGCTCCTTCTCCGGCGATCCTGACGAACCCGGATGTTGACAATTTGGGTTCCGCAGTGTTAAACTCGGACTCTCCGTTTCCCAGAGAGAGAACAAGGAGATCGGAGACGCCGTTGCAGAACGGGAACTCGTGCTTGTTGTTCAAAACGTGGGTGATGGCCGCAGCCGTTGGATTGTTCATAGCTATTCCTCCATCGACGGCCACGATCTTCGTCCTCCCGTCGATGGACTTCATCTCCACAGGGCCAACCGCAACGGGATCCGCTGACGTGGCAACACAGACGTCCCTCATCTTGAAATCATAGCCGTCCAATTCCAGAGCGTCGGCGCGGGAAAATAGGAACGGCGCGCGAGTGATGAGGTCGTAACAGGGGATCAGAACCGGCTTCAACGTGTCCTTCAACGTGCTGTCACCGAAAGTCTTGCGGAACAGCTTCTCGACTTTCGACCCCGAAGACGACGCGCGAACTGCTCGCCGGAAAATCCCCGGCTTAGACCGGAAAATCTTGCGCCGGTTATCGATGAGGAACTTCAGCGCCTCCTCGGCGGAGAACATCGGAAAGCCGTCTCTTCCGCGAGTGAACAACAAAGCCGCGAGAACGCCTCCAATGCCAGACCCCGCGACTACGTCGAAATAAGCAGCGATGTGGGCATTAGGGTTCCCGGATTTGCGACGGAGGCAGGCTTCAAGGTGAACCAAAGACTTAGCAGCAAGGATGCCGTCGGTGGCGCCGGTCCCGTCAATGCAGAGAATTCTGACCTTACCAGTGTTGTGTTTGGCCGTTTTGGCGTCTTCTGGAGAAATCTGAGCGGAATTGGCGACGACACTCTTGGAATTCTTGGGTTCGTTGTAGCCGAAGAGGAACTTGTTTTCCAATATGGAGAAGATTTCGTAGGTGAGCTTGTCAACTTCGAAGGTAGAGTCAATGTTAGAAAGTGCCGCCATTTCTGCAATTTTCAGTTCGTAGATAGATAGAGTCAGAAAGGGGAAGGGGGATATTGAAATTTGAAACTAAGGAGACTGCGATGGGTATTTGTGTTGAAGATCAGGAGAAAGAAGGAAGCGTGGATGAAGAAAAAATGAGGCGAAGGTGCATTATATATACAGCGAGCGGAGCAAATTGAGAAGGCAGCGAGGATGATAGTGATGGCGGTCATCCACGAACATTCCCAAGGCGGAGTTGCGGTGATTAAGACAAAATTACATGTAAGAACCCAAAATTGTAAAACAAAAATCTCAAATTCATAATTACTTAGAAACTAAAAGTGAATGTTCGAGTCTAAGATTTTATAAGGCTGTATTTTGGGGAAAAAAATAATGGCAATTTATAGAACATAGTTTTTTGACAACTATGGGCCCTTAAATGTAATTTTTGCAAAAATCAAATGGCACAGGACTATGTTATAATTTTGGATGTGAATTGAATTAAATAGATGAAGGCGTGGAGGGGATGTTTGGGAAGTTGAGGAGGGAATTAGTTTAAGATAAGGGGAGAGAAATGGTATGCAAGAAAAATGCGTTGATGCAGGGGAAAATTAAAAGGCTAAACTCTAAAAAGCAAGAATGGACCAGCTTTAATTGATGCATACGAATTTAAAAATCTGGTGGTGGGAATGGCCCTTATTCTGGTATCTTTGAATTTGTACTTTCTGTCTTTTTTTTTTACCACGTAGTTCCTTTATTCGTGCACTTTATGCTGAGCATGCATGTTTTGAAATTTAGTGGAGGGAAGGTCAGTATTGACCAATGACCAGTGGATTCTGTTTTTCTCTTTTCACAATTTGCATTTTATCTTTCATGAGTCTGCAAATTAGGAGTCTCAGTCCAATTAAATGGTTAAATTTTCGGATGATATATAAGAGAATGTAAAAGGCGGTAATGCAGGGAAGAGGGAGAGGGTAAGAAATAATGTCGGCGGGGGAAGGAGGGGGGCAGAGAAGATCGGGGTGGGGCCCGGGGCTAGAGATACGTGCCGGTGTGAAATCCTTGTCAGCTGAAGCAATACAGTTGTCCGGACTGTACTATGCCCTTCACTCCCTACCGTACAACCCCCCGTGTACCAACCGCCTTCCCCTCTTCCCCTCGCCTTCCTCCTCCTCATCCCCTGTCTATGTAATTAGAATTAGAACATAAAACAAATCTCATGTTTAAAAATAAAAAATAAATTAAAAATATATAAATTTAAGAAATATTTAGTTAAATAACTTGGTGAAAGTATATTCTCTTTAAATGTATTTAATATTTTTAATTTATCTTATAATTTTTAAACGTAGGATTTTTTTATGTTGTAATACGAAGCATCACTCATTCACTATAAGCGCGGGACAAAGCATCGGAGATATAGGTCGGGTTATGGCCTAATCCATATGCCTGGATAAAAATACCAACGGTTTATTCAATTTTTTTTTTTTAAACTCATACTCTTTTTTAAAAAGTTAGATGTTTAAAAATATAAATTATTTTTAATCTTTTAAGGTGTAATCATTTTATTTTCTTAAAAGCACTCTTATTAATAATGACTTTATATTTATTATAGGGTATTTAATAGAGATAAAAATAAAAAGATAGGGTTAGTTTGAAAATAGTTAACTACTTCATTAAAATTGAGATTCGATTAAAAATATTTTATATTTTTAAACAGAGAGAGTGTTTAACAAATCAAAAAATTTTAATACAACTAAGTTTTTAAACTTGCTTGCTGAACTTTTAAGCTTGACCCTTTTAAGTTGGGTTTTTTTTTACCCCTAAAAAGAATAATTTTTTTAATTTTTAAATTAAATATAAAATTTAAAATATATGTTTATATCTTAAAATTAAAATTTATATTACTTATTATTTTATTTTTGAATATTATAATTTATATTTTAAAAAATAAATATGTAATATTAAAATATAAGAATTTAAAAAATTGAAATAAAAATTAAGAAAAAGGCTTACTAACTGGCTCCAAACTCCATCAATAAGGGTCATATTTAAAAAATGATCATTTTTTAGATAAACGGGTTTTCAATCTAAACCCATATGGGTCAGGCATGCACTTCTACCAGCTCCATCTGCATGAGTTTAATTGTTTTTAAAATTCTTGATTTTTAATTTTTAAAATTTAATTTGACATTATAATTTTATATCTTCTTGCTCTGAGCATAAATTAAATTTTTAATTTAAAATAAATAATATTAATTATAATTTTAAAGAACTGACCACATATTTTAAACTTTAAATTTAATTTCACTTTATAGTTAAACGAGTTAGGCTCAAAAGTATTTTTATAGTTAAAAAACTCAATTGTCAAACAAGCAATTAGACATGAGACACAGGTGTTAGGTGGGGTGATAAATATAATGCATTCAAAATTAGAATTATCAATCAAAACTAATCTTTGAAGTGTCAGAGTTTAAACAAGCTGGCTCTATTAAACTCAATTATATTTCAAAGTTTCATTTTGATTAGCTTGACTTTAAATTTTTTTTTTTTTGGATTAAAAAAGGCTAGCATGACTGGCTCAATTCTAATTGATAGGTTAATTCAAGATTGGGAGTTTTTTATTTTAAAAAATGATCATTTTTAAAAATTTATACCTTTTAATTGGGCTTACAAGATGGGAATGAAAGTCTTCATATATATATATATATATATAAAACTAAGTTTGATATTATATAACAATGCACATTTATACGCTAGCATACATATTAAAATTTTCTAAAATCCAAGCCATATCAATCTTAATTTTAAAATACAAATATATATTTTAAAGTCAAAATTTAATATAAAAAAATAAATTATTCTAATTAATGAATTTAAAATAAACACAGACTTAAAGAGGTAATCAAAACTCTTTGTTCCATGCTTCAACAGGTCGGGTTCAAAAGCCTGAGTTTAGGCAGGTAGCCCAGGAGGCTGATCTGTGAGCCGAGTGAAAGGCACCAAACAAGGCAGGAGGGTCCCAGTACTGCCCTTGCCTTTTTTTCTCCTCATGCTGGCTTTTGCACCGTCCCATGTTTTTATATATCTCTTAATTTAAAAATATAAAATATTTTTAATTAAATTTTACTTTTTAATAAAATTATTATTTATTTTTATATAAATATTATCTTTTTATATTCATCTCTATTAAATATCTTATAATAAATATAAATTTATTATCAATAGAGACATTTTAATAAAAGTTAATAATTACACTTTAAAAGATTAAAAATATCTTACATTTTTTAATATTTAACTCCTCAAAAAATATTTTATATTTTTTTAAATGTCTCTTTTTTAGCCTAAATATTCATATGATAGATATCTGTAAGGAGCTTATGACCCCTCCATTTAAATATTTAGAATAATTATGTGATATTGCCTAAGGTTAGGAGTACTATTTTGGTTTTTTTGAAAAAAAATAAGTAAAAACTTCTGAATAACATGCTCTCTTTATTAAAAATGTAAAATATTTTTTAAATAGTTTGATATTTAAAAATGTAAAGTATTTTTAATTTTTTAAAGTGTAATTATTGTTTATTTTTAAAAAATATTTTTATTGATGATAAATTTATATTTATTATAAAATATTTAATAAAGATAAATATAAAAAGATAGAGTTAATTTAAAAATAAATAATTATTTTATTAAAAAATAAAATTTAATTAAAAATAACGAGGAAAGTAACAGCAATCCGTTACAAAAACAAAGCCCCTGGTGACAAGACCCAATTGGGATCCTGGCTTGATTGATTTCTGAATATTGGGAGCAACGAAGCGTAGAGTTAATAATTCAAGAACATGCACAGGTTTAAAAAGAGAACACGTCAAACAAGTGAAATGAAAAGGTAAGATACAGATTCATTGAAGTCCCTCTTTATGGGTCCTTAAATGTGACTGCAGGATCATAAATTATCACCAGACATCCACCAAATAGTAACTATTCAACCACGGAGAAGACAGGGAGAGAGATGAACAAACTTGAAAGTGAAGTGTTCCTTCCCTCCCCTTCCCCCTTTCTCTGTTTTTTATTTATTTATTTTTTTTTTTTTGTGTTTGGCGCCATCAAGTGAAGTGTTTACTTTTTTTTAATTTCCCATTTCATTCCTTAAATGGCGGATCATAATTAGTCGTGCCCCTTATTTTATGATTTTATTCCTTCTCGCCTTAATCTATCATCCCCTTTCCAAACAGTATATCACTTGCATGACGCTTTCATGGACAAATTTAGATTTAGATTTTAAATTTAAAATCCACATATATTTAAAATTATTTATTTTCTACACAATTAGAAATGATTTGTCCTAATTAAGTGACTTGCCCACATGCTTTGCTGGTGTTAAAAGATGGTTAATATTTTTGATAATTAAAGTACATCATGTTTTTAAAATTATAAAAAAAAAATATTACTTGAGTTTTGATCAAATCTAGTTCCATGAAATTTTATATAATCAACTAATGGATTTGGCCCTGACAGTCACTCTACTTTTCTTTTTCTCCTTTATTTAGATGATTTATCAAACCACACTAGGCCCATCCTGTCCTAATTTTGTAGCGAAGTTTTAAAACATTATTTGGTATCAAATATGGGATATTAATATGTAGAACTAAGTTGTAATTCCTAAATATATTTTATTGTTGCCTATCATTAATTTTAGTGAAGGGTATAAAATTTTGAGAAGTGAAACATGTTTTACAACTAGAAGTTTTAAAATATTAACTATCATTCTTTATGAACAGTAAAATGTTTTAACTTCATCCTCTAATTAGGATTGGAGGGAGTACATGCTGAATGACTTTTAATTAGCACATCAATTTTTTCCCCCTGACAATGAAATGCTGAGCCATATATAATAAAGACAGGTTAAGTTTCGGGAGGGTTTCGTGGCATGAGCACCGACGATCAGGTTCAATGTTCCAAAGAAGCTCACAATTCTTTTCCAAAAACTATATATGACTTGATTTGGAGAGGCAAGTAGGGAATAGCAGCAGCTAGCAGCAACAACGTAGGCGGTAGGTTAGATTCATTAGATTCCACTTGTTTAATTAAAATCAAGTCTTAGAAGCCAACATTTTTGCCACCTTCACTTGTCGGCCTCTTTCCTTTAATCATCACATGGATCGGACTTAAGTAATTATTCATTATATTAATTAAGGTCGTAACAAATAACAACCTTCTTAATTCTTGCTGCTGCCACCTTGATTG